AAATTAAAACGAGATCAAACTAAAATAGAAAGTTACTAAATGAAGAAAATCTATACTAAAAGACTGAAAAGCTAAATTACTAAATGGCTAAATTCTATAGTAGGTAAGATATTAAAATACAGGATACCTAAGTATTAAGCTACTATGCCACTAAAATGCTAAACTTGTGAATTAATTAATGTACATGTACTTTACTATGCAAATGATTCCATATTGATGGTGAAATCTTGAAAAAGAATTTGAAAAGCAAAAGACAATGTGGTATCTGGACATGGAGGAAACAAGCATGGGTTGCAAGGGGAAAAAGATTAAATTTCCACCCACAAGATATAGAAGTTTTCTTTTATTAAAAAATAATTCTGACAAGCAACAGATGTCATGATTATTTCAGATAAACTGAAATCAACAAGATCTGAGCAAGCCAGTACAGTACATCTGTCAGTAGTCAGCTGAGAAAAAATGCACAATCCAATGTATTTTAAAGAGAATAGCCTGGAGCTGGGGTGGGCAGAAAGCAGATTGGATCTAGTGGGTGATTTCTGGGCAATGTGCAATAGATCAGTAAGTGTTTGCAATTCCATTTCTTGAACAGTAGCAACTACTAAATCATCCCCCCCCCCCAAACACACTTAAATTGGACAGTTTGGGGTTTCCAGGTGTAGACACTTATGAAAAGACAACAAGCATAGTTCATTTCAGGGACTGAAAAATAGTTCACAGGATAAGAATGTGCTTCGAGGCTTTCTGTGCTTTGATTTTTTCTGAGTGTTTACCTCTTGGATGCGGCTCTAATCAGTGAAGTTCTAGTGAGAAATTCAAGAAGATGTAGCAGGTCCATCCACCTGTAGTTTAGAACGGAGGGGTCTTTTAACAGTCTCACTTCTGGAAACATTGTTAATCCTAAACTGTATCAGGGACCTACTGCAATGTGTGCAATAGGTATAGATTGGGTGCATATGCATACAAACACCATTTCTCTTTTTCCCCAGAATAATTCTGTATAAAGACTTGGTGCTTGATATTTAAGAGTGGCACAGAATGGGAAAATTCAAGTAAGGTGAAGAAAACCAACATCTATTGCAAGAGATTGTTCTTTGAAGGATAGACTGTCCTTGTATCAAAGTTCTCTCTTCTAGCCTCAAAGACCAAGAAGCAAAAGAAAGAGGTATCACCAGAATAATCCCCTTAAGACAGAAGTACCATATATTCAAGTACGGTATATTTTTGTTTTACTTTATGGCAAGTGCATAGGAAATCAGAGCTTCAGCAGGTACCATCTTCAATCTTTCAGAACTTTGCTCCATGATCTAGCTAAAATGGAGAATAATTTTTAACAGCCAAAACTGGCTTTGGGGATTTGTTTTTCTTTGGGTGCCCTTAAGTTAGGGTTCACAAAAACCTAGTAACTGCCTGGACAAGTCCCAGAAGTTTTGGCAATGTTTTCGGAAGTGGTTTGCCCTTGCCTTCTTCCTAGGGCTGAAAGACTAGCCTAAGGTTACCACCTGAGTTTGTGCCTAAGGCAGGCTACAATCCACAATCCCCCCCCCCCGCTTTTTTAAAAAAAGCAAGATTTTCTTCATACATCTATTACCTGCAGAGTATAAATTGAAAGGATAAATGGGATTGGCATTGACAATATTGCAGGAACAGGTCTTTCTGTTAATAATGCTCATCACTTTTGAGGCCAATAATCAAGGAGTAAATGATCATGTAGAGTTGTGACAACTGAGCAACTGCTTGGTTAAGGGGCCACTCGGAAAATAATTTAAATATAATGTGATGCAAAGCCTCAATTCAGACATTCGTGCACACAAATACAATTGTATTATTTTCTTGATCATTGTGTAGTCTATAGCTACACAATGTCTGAGTAGGTTAACTAGGGCAGATTCTGCTTAACATGTAAAAAAAACATAACCAATTATATATAATAATTTAATTTCAATAGGCAGAATTCCTTTGTATTGAACTACATAACTGAGCTGCAATATTCAACATTAATTCTTCCTGGAGTAAATAGATAGCTAGATAGATATAGACAGATAGGCAAGCAGGCAGATCAACTCATTTAAATTGGCTGAAGGAAATACTCTTAACTCAAGGGATTCCTTGATAACAATTTGTTCAATGCATGGTATATGGCTGCATTGTATAGAATCTTTCATATACTGTATTATTCACAGGACGCTGCTGTTCTACATATTAACCAATTCCTGAATATTGTCTTGACTATGGATGTTACAAAACATGCACATATATTTACAAAAGCCTGGTTTTTTTTTTCAGATGTTAATGATGATAACAACAACAACAACAACAGGGTTGCAGCAACATCCTTGAACAATCTTCCTTGCAAGCTTCTGCTGCTGCTTTCCTTCCAAACAACAGCCATTCAAATTCTAGCACAAAGCCATATCAGAATAGATGTTCCACTGGAATCCTAAGCAAACTATACCCAATTCCAATGGCTTTTCCTGGTCTTGTCCTTTTCAAGGATATGGTTTTGGAATGATACACATTGTGAGGGCCTTCAAATCATTTGAAAGCATTTGAATGGTAAACCTCATCAAAGACGGATTCATCTGATACAACAGACCCATTTGCAATTTGGGGAAATCACGGTTTTATTTAATGGAAAACTGGACCAAGTTAAGATCCATGCCCTCACCACAGGTTTCGATAATGGCAAGGAAGGTGGGCAATGATTAGAAGAAAATCTGGATAGTGAATGGGTGGCGCAGTGGTTAGAGTGCAGTACTGCAGCCACTTCAGCTGACTGCTAGCTGCAGTTCGGCAGTTCAAATCTCACCGGCT